GCCGCTCCTGGCTGTGGTGGCGGGCGCACCGCTGCCTCTCTCTCACTGTCTCCAGTCTCGGTTACACCGTCTCTCAGGCACCTCCTCTCCCGGCCTCTCCTGCCTCCCCTCCGAGATGAGGCTGGGATCGGCGCTCCGGGCCAGCCCGCACCAGTGCTAGGCTGGGCACCGGGCTGCACCGGACAGACGGACCCGCGGACGGTTGGACTGCCCCGGCGCCCAGGAGAGGAGAAGCCGCCCCCGCTGTCACCATGGTAACGCCTGCCAGAGTCTGGACCACCTCCCTCTGTCTTCTTTTGGCGGGGTCCTCGCAGACCCTCAACCTTTTATGCTCAGACGACCCTTAGAAGCCCACCAGGGCTCTGCTTAACTGCCCCCCCCCCACCACCACCACCAGCAGGGGTAGTGGAGGGGGGGAGGGAGGTAGGTTGCAGAGACCCATCCCTGGGCGCTGCCTCCCTCTGCATTCTGGGCCTCTGGCTCTCCATGTGCAAAGTGGAGGAGTAAGACGGGATGACTTGTAAACTTTGATATTGCCCCATCCCACGGCCCAAGTCAGAGCTGTAATCCCGGCTCTTGGGCCATGGACCCAACTTGGGGTGGTGTTGCATTTCAGACGTGGGGCTGAGCGTCAGACATGCCCACTGTCGGTCCCCACACAGGTTTGGATGGGGATGGGGTTAAAGGCCCTCGGAGCACAGTCAGGCAGTGCAGGGCAAGCAGAGTTAAGGGTGAGGAGTGGAGAGGAGGAAGTTGCCACCAAAACTTGGGGTGTTTTTGCTATTTCAGACTCAGGGCAGGAAAGTCAGCTATGCACATTGCCCTGATCGAGGTGCTCCCCTGGGGACTGGGTGGGAGGTAGGTCTAGGGGAGGGGGGAGAGGGCAGTGCCCACATACTGTGACTTCCTGGGCTGGCACCTCAAGGTTGGGACAGGCGTGTGCGTGCCTGCGTGTGTGCGTGTGTGTGTGTGTGTGTGTGTGCAGAGAATGAAAGAAAAGTCTGTTTTCAGAGAATCCTAACCCAGCTCCAGACAGGCCCAGGAGCCCCGGGCAGATTCACACAGATCGCAGGGGCGGTGGGATTTGGAAAAGGGCTGTGAAGACAGGCCAGGGCTTTAACCCCTTGACTGTGAACTACCGTGTTGAGTGTGTGTGGGTTTTCACTGTGTGCACGTCACCCACAGAAGATTTCTGTGTAGCAGTGGTTCTCAACCTTCCTAATGCCGCGGCCCTTTAATACGGTTCCTCACGTTGTGGTGACCCCCAATTTCATTGTTACAAATTGAACATATTTAAAGCATAGTGATTAATCACAAAAACAATATGTAATTATATATGTGTTTTCCGATGGTCTTAGGCAACCCCTGTGAAAGGGTCGTTCAACCCCCAAAGGGGTCGCGACCCACAGGTTGAGAACCGCTGCTGTATAGAGATGTGTATACACACACACACACACACACACACGCACACACACACACATACACACCAAAACATGCTCCTGCTGACCCACACAGCTGAACTTATGTGCCCTCTCATCCGTACAAGCCTTGTCCTCCTGCTCTCTCATACTGCTAAAATAGGGGCGCACACCTGCGTACACACCATAGACACATTGCAAAAGCAGGCTCCTCAATCCATACTCCAGCAGGGCAGGGGTATGCGTACATTGCCATTGGAGCTGTTTGGCCATAATCATAAGCTAATGTTATTCACTGGGCAATGTACATGCAGGAGCTCCTGTAACTCACACCAACTCTAAGAGTAAACCTGCTGGTATTGCTACTCCACAGATGGAGACCTGGGAATCGGAGAGCTTAGGTGGCTGCCCAGGGTCACCCTGCCAAGAAGTCAGAAGCGGGACAGCATGAATTCTGAACCCGAACTCAGCTGTCACAGCCACCCCAGAGCCACTTGCACCAAGTGATGTTTGCCAAACCTTACCTGGTTTTGGACCTAACTTAGTTATTATTTTTAGAATCCAGAAACTCCTTGCTGAAGCCCAGATCCTAAGATCTGGGTAGTCCTTCCAAAGAATGAGCAACTTTTTCTTCTGAGTGGGAATGATGGGCAGATCTCCCTCCCACGGTTGTCTTTGTCACCTGCCCACCTCTCTGGCCTCACCTCTATACTGCAGACACTCTGACCTTGGTTCAGAGCCTCTTATGTTTCGTGTTCCCTCCAGCCACAGTGCCTTTGTACATGCTATTCTGCTGGGTGGAACTCCTACCCTTAATGAATCCCATTCATGCTGTACATCTCCACCCAAATGTCACCTCCTCAGGAAAGCCTTTCCTGATTTCCTGACTCTCACTGTATATCTCTCCTTCGTGGCAATGATCACAGTTGTAAATTTTGTGGGATGCTTTGATTAATGGCTATCTAATGTTCAGAAACAGCCCAGTGTCAGAGCATCTTAGGACAAAGGAGCTTAGGGTTTATTCAGTCCAATATTTCTGTAATTTTAATATCACCAGAACCATTTTTGCATTTCCACTGACTGGATATAGCAAATAATAAAATATACTACTTATCATTTGCTCAATATTTTTATTTATATAAATTTACTTTTTAAACTTAAAAATATATTTAAAAAGGAAATTTTATGTCATGACCATGAAAAATCAGTATCCCTTGTCATAAACAGGAAGTAATTGGGAAAAAAATACAATGAAGGCAAATCCATGTTAGAAAATTCTGGCTGGATGAGGCTGACTGTGGATGACTCCAAGCCCCAGGACTGCTTTCTTGCTGTTAAAAGGAGTAATGACTAAGTGTTGAGAGGTGTGTAAGATATACTGGCACTGAACTGGGACTTTCTCTTTGGTGTCATCAAGAGCACCAGAAGAGAACTGGAGTAACCTCTTTATTGTGATTTCATTTTGAGCTCATGCCCTCCCCAAATCATCTTTTGGGCCACCTGTGATCGTATTGTACACTTTGAGAAAAACTGCTTGAGTTAATTCAATTTATTCCCCCAAAGCACCTACTGTGTGCCTGCCAGGCCCAGGGAGAGAGATGTGTAAGCCCTGGGCAGGCCCACTCACTGAGAATTCTAGGCTGCATGATGGGCGGTGGGAGTCCATCTCTTTGCCTGGAAGCACCTGTGTCGTGAGAAGAGCTGGAGGTGTAACAGGGCTCTGAAGTGTGGGAGGGAGCTTGCCCAGGGCCAGCGAGGGACACCGTGCTTCCCAAAGTGAGGCACCTGGGTCCTCAGAGGGGAGACTTCATTTTATTATTTATTTATGTTTCATGCTCTTTGTTTTGATTTTATGTTTCAATTACAGGTTGTGTTCAATATTATTTTGTACTAGAGGCCCGGTGCACAAAAATTTGTGCACTTGGGGGAGTCCCTCAGCCCGGTCTATGCCCTCTTGCAGTCTGGGACCCCTCGGAGGATGTCCACCTGCTGGCTTAGGCCCGCTACCCGGGGGATCGGGCCCAAGCTGGCAGTCAGACATCCCTCTGGCAGCCCG